ATTTTGTCCCCCCCCCCCCATTCAAGTCATTTTGCTTATCTAGTAAAAGTATCTTGATTTAAGAATTTTTAGATATTCTGACTAGAAACAAGACAAAATACTAAGTAAGATAAGCCATCTTTGCAGTGTAGTGCTGTATGACAGATTTTCAGATCATTGCTATTTAGTTTTTCCTTTTTTATTCAAAATATTCACAAACTTGTTAACTATGCCAATGATCTGATATTCCGATTCTCAAGTATGTGTTTTGTCGTTTACAAACCTTTATAATGATCTTATTAGTTGATTTATAATGCATGATGGGTGCTGCCATATTAGTTAGTGTTGCAATTTAGAGAATCGTATCTGTCACATTTACAACACGGAAATTCATCCATTTCTCCCAAAATACATGAAAGAAAGTGGCTGGTGAAATGGGAGAAAAATAGAGGGAACTTTATAGTTACCACAATGTGTATCCGATATGAATAAACAACATCATCAAATTATAATTGAAAGGATTGTTATTGCCGCTTCCATAGACATCAGTGTGTATTTTACAAACTTACATAAATGTATTGTTTTGCTAGCACTTATGTGTATTTAAATGTCTGAAGCCTAAAATAAATATTGTGTGGCTAAAAACACTGCATAGTTGAGATATATGACAAGTGCTGAGCGTGTCTGTTTCTGGCTCAGTATCAGCCAAAGCACGCAAGCACATTTGAATCTGGCAGTTATGTAACGTCACTGTGCATTTTAAATCCCATATGTGGACTGTAATCCCAAGGTCACACAAATAATGATGTCTTAATAACAATCTCACAATAGAAAATAAATAATAATGGCTGTATATTAAAAAAGGTCAAATCTCTTTTCTGTAGACTTTCAGACTGCAGTATCACTGAAGAAGGTTATAAAGCTCTGGCTTCAGCTCTGAGATCAAACCCTTCACACCTGATAGAGCTGGATCTCACAGGAAATGATCCTGGACAATCAGGAGTGAAGCAGCTCAGTGATTTACTACAGGATCCAGACTATTCGCTGAAAACACTAAGGTGAGCCGTGATTAAATGATACAATGAGTTGCTGTTGAATTAATACAAATTATTATTTCACTAATGCAATCTGTTGCATTAAAGTAAATTCAAGATAAACAATTTCTCATTTCCCATCAGAATCAGATATTATTTTTATTACACCAAGTTTAGTTGAATTGAATCCTGCTTCATCTTCTCTTCTGTAGGTTTTTGGGTCCTGCTGCAGATGAAGCCTGTCAGTATGTGACTGGAATTGTGGGTAAAAACCTGTTACTCCTGAGAGAGCTGAATCTGAGTGAACTTAAACTAGGACATTATGGATTAATGAAACTTATTACGGTACTGCAGGACAAACACTGTAAACTCAACACACTGATGTAAGTTTGATCATTATTATGACAATTTTAGTACTTATGAACTTGCTGTTGGATGGTTTATATATTGTTTGCCAGAAAGTGTTGACTTATAACTATTGGTAAATATTTAGTTGTTGTTGTTATTGTTAATGGTGTAATTGTGTTTCCTCTTAACACAGTCTGAATAACAGCGATATCACAGAAGAAGATTGTCGTTTATTGGCTGAAGCTTTAAATTCAAACCCTTCAAATCTGACAGAACTGAATCTGAGTGGGACTAAACTCAGAAACTCAGGAATGAAGATCTTCTCGACTCTGTTTAAGAATGAACAATGTAGACTGAAAAAGCTGAAGTAAGTAATTTAGTCAATTTGTAAAACAAAGGCCAACTACTAAAAATAATTTTATTATGAAATTCTCATATTGGTGGACTAAAGTAGTAATAGCCAAATCTACTAGTTCCATAATTATATGTATAGCTTATTTGTTTACTTTCTTATACAGGTTTAATTGCATCAGTATAACAGCAGAAGGTTGTGCTGCTCTGGCGTCAGCATTTCATTCAAACCCTTCAAACCTGAAAGAGCTGGATCTGAGTGGAAATAAACTAGAAAACTCAGGAGTGACTGAAATCTCCACTCTACTGGCAAACTCTCAGTGCACACTGCAGATACTCAGGTTAGGTTTTGGTGAATTTAAACATGAACAGAACATTTCTGTCAGCAATATCACTTTTGTACGTAAACCATTTAGTATGTATCTGTCTTGAAACATTTCATAAATATTGACAAATGCACATTTTTGGAGAGCTGAGAATTATAAATATTGTAATCTGAAAAATTAAAACTAGTTTTTACTAAATGAGTAAGAACATTTGAGACTTTTTTTTCTTGCTGTTGTTTTTTGCCTCTAGACTTTCAGACTGCAGTATCACTGAAGAAGGTTATAAAGCTCTGGCTTCAGCTCTGAGATCAAACCCTTCACACCTGATAGAGCTGGATCTCACAGGAAATGATCCTGGACAATCAGGAGTGAAGCAGCTCAGTGATTTACTACAGGATCCAGACTATTCGCTGAAAACACTAAGGTGAGCCGTGATTAAATGATACAATGAGTTGCTGTTGAATTAATACAAATTATTATTTCACTAATGCAATCTGTTGCATTAAAGTAAATTCAAGATAAACAATTTCTCATTTCCCATCAGAATCAGATATTATTTTTATTACACCAAGTTTAGTTGAATTGAATCCTGCTTCATCTTCTCTTCTGTAGGTTTTTGGGTCCTGCTGCAGATGAAGCCTGTCAGTATGTGACTGGAATTGTGGGTAAAAACCTGTTACTCCTGAGAGAGCTGAATCTGAGTGAACTTAAACTAGGACATTATGGATTAATGAAACTTATTACGGTACTGCAGGACAAACACTGTAAACTCAACACGTTTTTCATTACCTCAAGATTAGTTTAATTGAATCCTGCTTCATCTTCTCTTCTGCAGGTTTTTGGGTCCTGCTGCAGATGAAGGCTGTCAGTATGTGACTGGAATTGTGGATAAAAACCCGTTACTCCTGAGAGAGCTGAATCTGAGTGAACATGAACTAGGAGACACACGAGTGAATCAGATCGCTGCTCTACTGCAGGATAAACACTGTAAACTCAACACACTGATGTGAGTATTTTCACATGGTTTAATACTTTATAAAATACCCTTAACGTATAATATTGTTTGATATTTCATTTTCTAAATACTGGCATTGTGATTATTTTTTTAGAGGACTAAGATTAGTTGAGCCATCATATAGATTTATCCTTCTTTAGGTATTGGTTGTGTGTTGTGAATGAAATAATCTGAAGAATGTTTCCAGTCTTTTTGTTTTTTGTTTTCACTCTCACTCTCTCTTTTCCTCTGCAGATTGAAAAATAACAATATTACAGCAGAAGGTTGTGCTGCTCTGACTTCAGCATTTAATTTAAATCCTTCTAACCTGATAAAGCTGGATCTGAGTGGAAATAAACTAGAAAACTCAGGGATACAGACGATCTGTCTTCTGTTGAAAAGCACAGAATGCAAATTGGAAAAACTAAAGTGTGTATTTTCATTAATGTACATTTCTACATTTGAATTTATAGTGTTAATTTGATTAGATTACCCGAAAAAAACCAAACCTGGAGGCTATAATTTCAGTTACTGTCTGTACTCACCTTAGCAAAATCCCCAGAGTTAAATCAACTCTTCTCAGAGTACATATTGTCCCAATCTACAGAGTGTTAAATTAACACTGAAGCCGAGTTAAAGTTAATGGAAGAATTAAGCAATTAATTAATTGATGAGTGAGCATTAGTAAAGAAAATTTTTCTAACTTGTTGATAATTTCTCTAACTATTATTTAGCATCACAATATTGGTTTGAACTTTAAGTGTTCTTCATTTTGTTTATTTAGCACAGAACATGCAATACCTAACAGCTTCTTTCATATACAGAGTTTCAGACTGCAGTATCACTGAAGAAGGTTATAAAGCTCTGGCTTCAGCTCTGAGATCAAACCCTTCACACCTGATAGAGCTGGATCTCACAGGAAATGATCCTGGACAATCAGGAGTGAAGCAGCTCAATGATTTACTACAGGATAAACACTATAAATTGAAGACCATCAGGTGATTAAAACTTTCAAATACTTGTTAAAATTGTAAATTTCAAATAACATTTCTGGAACCATGCTGCAACAATAATCAGTTGACAAGCTGTTTCTTGTTTTGATCCAGTGTTTAATTAATCACATCATATGCCATATGGAAGATTATAACTGACAGAAACATGTATTTCTTTGCATTAGCAAGTAAAATTGCTTTTAGTATTATTTTTAAAATGCCCCCATTCAAGTTGTGGTAAACATATCTTTTTGCTGTGAGATCTTTACTGATTTTTATAAGGTAAACATAACTTTTATATTAGTAATATTTCAAGATGAACACTTACTGGGCTAAAGCAACATAAGTTTGCTTGATTATTTACACATCAGGTTTTTTTTTTAATGAAAAT